GTGAAAACCTGCAGGTCAAGGAAAGTGGTTCCAAAAAAACTGTCCGAGTTCAATAGGATCTTCAAGAACATCTGGTGCATCACCCAACCCAGAGAGGTTAAGTGACTTGCCCAGAGTCACACAGCGAGGGCTGGAGTTTGACCCAATGGACTCTGACCTGGGCCTCTTTTCACCTTTCACTTTTGCTTCCTGGGCTGGGGCTTTGAAAGGTGGATGTGTTTGACTGGCCAAACATTCCGGGCAGAAAAGGCAAAGAGAGCAGCACAGGCAGAATGGAATAGCCGGGGCAAAGGTGGCATGTTAAAGAAAGTGTGGAAAAAGAGGGAAGAAATGTTTTTTGAGCACCTGTTGTGAGGTAGGTACCAGCATGAAGTGAGCTGAGAGAAAATCTCCACAGGGAAAGCCTGGACAAAGGGGGGGGGGGGGGATTTTTTTTTTTTTTTTTTTAAAGGAACCGGAACAGAAGGAGCCCCGGAAGGTCAGGCCAAGGAGGCTGGCTTGGCTGGTTTTGAGAGCAGAGGCTGTCCAGATCCTGGGTTGAGTGTGTGTGCCCTAGTACATTTCTTTTCCCCAGCTCCAACTTCATCATCCAGGTCACAGAAAGTAGAACACCTCACCCTCTGGGGCCTCAGCGAAGCCCAGAATAATTTTCTTACCCAGATTCCTCTTCCTGTGCGTATCTGGATGGATTCTGAGGGGTCCCCAGCTCCCCAGTGCTGGCACAGGTTGTCCTAGGACCTGCCAAGGGCATACTCCCCTGCCCTGTGCACCTGTCCCTTCCAGCCTTGTCCTCCCCACCCTACCTGGAAAGTACTGACAGCGTCAAGGAATTCAAGCCCAGGAGGCCGCTGATCCCACAATCAGGACTGCTGTGCCTCTCAGAGCCTCCAGCCTGCCCGCTTCCCCTCCGGGGCCACATTTCCTGCTCTCTGCTGCTTGCTCCAGAGCTGCCAGAAGCTGAGATGGAAAACAAGCCCAGCCCCATTTCCTCTGTTTAACTGCTCAAGCTACTTGCAGAATCCCTGGGAGGGAGCACAGGGCTCTGCAACAGTCTTCTTCTAGAATAGTCCTTGGCCTGGCTGGCCGAGACTCCGCTGAGCCCCGGCAGACGGGCTGGAAGACAGAGCTGTTGAAAAAGGGGTGCCACGCCTCAGGGTCATCACCTGGCCGTGTCCCCAATTCCACAGGAGCAAATTGGATGTCTTATTTAAGGGTACAGAGTCTTATTTCTATCAGTTACCAGTTGGGTGATCTGACAATCGAATTTAGCAATTCTGCACCTCAGTTTCCCCATCTGCAAAAGAAAAATAACAGGAGCTACCTTATAGGGCGTTACAAGGATCCAAAAGTTTCTGGCACAGAAGCATAGAAGAATCTTTATCTATTGATTTATCATTGCTGAGTACTAATTATTCATGGCCTGGCTTGATTTGTTAAACAAATGTTTATTGAGGAATACCGTGTTCCGGTCACCAGGGACCCAAAGGTGGTTGGTTACCTTACCAGGTGGAGGTGCATTTCTGTGTCTGTAGGTTCTGGAGCACAAATGTTTATTGAACTGAACTGACCCTGTTTCTGTCTTCGAGAAATTTACAGCTTTCCTGGGGTAACAAACATATAGAGAGCTAAAAAAAAAAAAAAAAAAAAAAAAAAAAAAACCTAATTATGCAGCAGTGTGATTAGAGAGTGCTAGAGGAAGATACAATTTCCACCCTAGAAACAACCCTGATAATAAAGAGCGAGTGTATGCCTCGCTATGTATTTATCGAACCTTCATGATGGCCTCAAAGTCCAGCACAGTGAGGCCTCTTTGCTGTTCTTCAAACACATCAGGGCCTTTGCTCTTGCTGTTCCCTCCACCTAGAATCCTGTCTTCCTAGAGAGGCACCTTGTTTGCTCTAGATCCGTTCAGGTCTGTGCTCAAGTGTCACCTCCTCAGAGAGGCTTTCCCAATCCCCCTACCTAAGTGACAATATCCCCCCCACCCCTCCCAACACACACACACACACACACACACACACACACACACACTCGTCATTTTCTTCCCTCTTCGTTCTGGCTTCATTTTCTTCTAAGCATCTCCCATTGCCTGACATGATTTTACATGGCTATTTGATCCACTAGAATCTAAGCTCTACGAGTTAGAGCCCTGCTTCTTTGCTCAGTGCTATGTAGTCGGACACAGTGCCTGATGCATAGAAGGCACTCAAGAAATATGTATTGAATGAGTTCACTTAAACCTTTTCACCACGTACTTCATCCTCGTAAAGTGCCATGAGTTCAGTTCTTACTACGACCCTCCTTCCATTTTAAAGATGTGAACACTGAGGCCTGGAAAAGCTCCCTGACACATGTATTCGTTGGTTCATCTGTTTACTTTCCACCTTATTCCAGGTTTAAGGGGATTCCGAGAGGTAAACCTCTCTGGCCTGACCCGGGTCGCACAGCTGGTAAGAAGGTAGAAGCAGGACATGAGTCCACATCTTCTAGCTCCATTCTGGTTCCTCTTTCTACTCTGCCACTGTCCCCAGGCGCCTGACCCTTGGTAGGTGGTGTGATGTTCACAGAGGCGTTAAGGAGAGAGAGCTGTGTGTGGGGGCAGCACCCTCCAACATACCCAGTAGTTGTGATGCAGTGGAGGCCTCAGCAGGACCAAGAGGTAACGATCAGAGAGGTTAAGTGGAGAGGAAGGCCAGGCTGAGGCTGAGGCTTACGTTCAGATGTTCAGATCCCAGCCTGGGCAGGCCTGGTGGCTGCCTAGCAGCCTCTGACTCTTGGGCTGTCTCCTGGCTGCTGGGCTGGGCTTGTCCTCACCTGCCTCTGGCTCTCCCCAGTTCAGCTCTCTCCCCAGCTAGCCTCCTGCCCCAGCCAGCGGAAGGCAGGCGCCTGAGAGGACTCTGGTCCTCGGCCGGGGCAGTCAGCTGGTCTCTCGCAGGGCCCCCGGTCAGGAAGTGCCAAAAGAGGAAGAGAGTCGCCGGCAGGATGAGCGTACTGGGCCGGCCACAGTACCCGGGAGGCTGCGATGAGGCCACAGCTCTGGGCCCCGCGGAGGCGCTGGGGACCGAAGCGGAGGAGCGCCTGGGGGCACTGAGGCAGATGTGGCGCTACCGCTCCTGGGACGTGCCACAGATCCCAGCCGAGACCCCCCAGACACAGTAGGTACTCAGGGTGGTCCGGGAAGGGGCACCTCCAGCCCTCTCTGAATCTTTTATGTGGGGTGGGGGGTTCTGGCAGAAGCGGGGTTCCCCACCCGCAGTCCAGCAACTCTGCAGAGACTCAGAAAAAAAAAGCAAAAGGGGTTCTTGGCAGGAGGAGGGGAACTCTGATGTTGAGTTGCTGGGGAGCCGTGTGGGGGAGGGCTGAGTTCACAGGCAATAACAGTGGGAGAACTGGGAAGAGGAGCGGGGACAGGAATGGGGCGTTGTTTGCTGAAAGGTCTTGTCCACACTCCGTGGGGTCTTCAGCTGCCTCTGGTCTCCTCCCTCAGAGCTAGGTGTCAGAACTGTTGGGAAGGTTTCAAAGGGGTCCATGCACCCCAGAAGGACAGCATTTGGTTCCCCTGGGGATTTCACTGCCCTCCTGGCCATCCTGGCACCTGCCGCTGGCCCACAGGAAACTGTAAGGAAACGGGAAGAATGTTCTGAGCTTCTGGCTGCTGGCTCTTTCTCAAAACCACAGGCCACAGCCCCCAGCATTGGCTCTATGTGGCTGCCTAAAGTCTGGAAAATGGGCTGCCAGAACTCCAGAGGAGAGGGTAAGAGTGAAGGTGACACAGGATGTGGCTTTGTAGAGGGGAGTGTGAACAGAAACAGCAGGCAGCTGATGTGGGCATCTGAGTGGCAGGGTTTGGGAAGAAGAAGACCATGCTCTCCAGCTTCCTAGCCTCCCTCGGTCAGCCCTGCAGAGGCTATCAGAGCTGCCCGAGCTGCTGATTCCCAGGCGTGTGTGCTGGCTGTGCCACCACAGGCGATGGCTCTGTCTCCCATTGCTTTCTTCATCTGCTACCCTCGGGGTGTGCTTGTGTGAGTCTGAGAGGTCTATTTCTGGTGGGTGATGTGTGTGCAGGAGGCAGATGGCAACTTGTAGCCGCTGTCCTGGGAGGTGTTTGTGCATAGGAGAAAGGTGTGCATGTTCTGTGCGGGTGTGTATATTGGTAAACAAGTGTGGTCCAATTTTGGGTGTGCAGGTAGATTCCTGTAATGTAAGAAAGCTACAGGTTTGGTTGGATATTGTGCCGAGGAAATGCTATTTGCTAGAAGTGTGCAAAAGGGTTAGAAGCAACTGAATAGCTGAGAAGAGATGACTTTGTATGAGAAACATGTACGTTCTTTGTTAGTGTGTGCCAGGGTCACTTTGGAGTGAGTATACGTTGCTGGTATACATTTCTGAGAGTAAGAGGCTGGGGTGGGAAGCATTAGGGTAATGAGGGAACATACTCACGTGAGAGGCATGTTGGTTCTGTGTGACTTTTTATTCTCGCGGGTGTGATATGGGAAAGCCAAAGGGGTAAGGGTGGTGATTGTATGGGTGGCTGTGAGCGGGCACTGGGTGTGCAGAGCGGTGTCTATTCCGAGCGGCCTTGTCATGCCGGAGATTCGGGCGGACCAGGCAAGGGTTTGGGGGCGGGGACTCGATCACCACCACGCCCCCTGGGCCCCACCCCCTCCATGAGGCCAGGAGGTTGGCTGAGCGGCCGGCGGCCGGCAGAGGGCGCTGCGGGCGGGTGCCGCTCCGCACCGGAGGGGGCGTGTCCGGCGGCGGGCAGGCAGCAGCCTGGCCAGCTATGCGGGGTCCTGCGGCCCGGGCCGGCGGCACTTCCTGGAGCGGCGGCCGCTTCCCGGCCACCTGGGCGTGGGGCGCGGGGGCGCGCGGCGCGGGGCGGGCAGAGCGGGCGCGCGCCATGGCCCGGGCGGGCGGCGCCGAGCCGGCGTGTTGAGCCCCGGCCGCCGGCCCGGCATGGACGTCTCCCGCGGGCCCGCCGCCGGCCGGGGCTAGGGCCGATGGAGCCGCGGGACGGTAGCCCCGAGGCCGGGAGCAGCGGCTCCGAGTCGGCCTCCGCCTCGTCCAGCGGCTCCGAGCGCGACGCCGGCCCCGAGCCGGACCGGACGCCGCGGCGCCTCAGCAAGCGGCGCTTCCCGGGGCTGCGGCTCTTCGGGCACAGGTGAGCGGGCGGCCTCGGGCGGGCACTGCGGCTTCGGGCGGACCCCGCGCCTGGCACCGGGGGGCGTTCCTCGGCCGCTCGGTGCTGACCCTGCGCGGAGGTCTCCCGGCACCGGCGGCGCGGGCTGGACTGGGCTGTCCCGGCGTTGGCTCCGCGCGGGGGACACCCCCTGGCACCGGCACTGAGTGGGGATCCTTCCCTGGCACCCGCCCCTTAGCGCGCCTCCTCTGGGGCTGAGGAGCCAAGGCAGGGTCAGCTTCCCACTGTCCGGCGGCGGGGGGACCCGATCACCCCAAACCCTGCACTAGCAGGGAGGGCCCCAGCACTGGCCACCGCTTCCAGGCGCTGATGGAACCCGGTCCCTCCGTGTCTCCTGGCCGCGCGAGGTGGGGGTCTGGCCGCCCCCTGGAGCTCAGTGGGCAGTGCCCGCTTGCCCACCTCCGCATGACATCTGCAGAGCATGGCCTCGCTCATCCTGCCAGGACACAGGGCTGTCCTGGAACACCGGTCCCCGAGTTAATCTCTCAACATCTTCAGCCTCTCCTTGGGGTTGGGGGTGCCTGGCCACCTGCTCTACCATGTTCTTCATTAGCCAGGGGACCCCAACCTCCATCTCTGGGATAGTCGGCGCCCTCCCCCGAACCCCCAGGCCTTCCCTTGCTGGGAAAGGGATGGGGTGGGCTGCAGTCTGGAGTCTGTGCCCCCTCCCTCGTGCCCCCTTCCCAGCACACCAGAGGTCACCCTCCTGTGCCTGTAACAGGGCTGTGACGGAGACCCTGGTAAAGAACTGGGGGGAGGTGTGGAAAGATTGAGTGCAGACAGCTCGTGGCAAGTGTGCCGACGTTGTCTGGGAGCCGCTTCCTGCCAGTTATGCCTGGGGTGGTACGATGAGGGAAGGTGGAGGGAGCCCCACGGGGACCCCACCTGGCTCCCTGGACTTTCTCCTGACTGCCCCCTGCCCTCCAAGTGGCTGAGGAGCTTGCAGCCAATCAGCTAAGGACCCCAGAGCCAACTCAGACTGGACTCTGACCGCTTGGAGTCTGCTCAAGGTCTCTCCTCACTTTCCTTCAGTTGCCCAGGCTTCGTGGCAATTGGCCCCTCTGAGCTTTTACCCTGTCCCTTCCCTGGGTAGACTTTACCACCAGTAACACGGCAGTTTCCTCCTGTCGGGCCTGTTGGCGTCCCGGTAGTGCTGACCTGTGCCCGCCGCCTGCCCTACCCTTGCCAGGGCCCTGCTCTTTGCACCTGCAGTGTGTCGCCGAGCACACTCAGGGATCTGGAGCCTCCCACGGACAGATGGAGCTCTGTGGGCTCTTAGGAAGCCACGCGGCTTCAGTGTCATATAAAGCTTCCAGTACCTCTGTTTTGTCACCCACAAACCTGCAAGATGGAACAGTTTACACCCAGCTCTGCAGGATGTAGCCTCCAATGTTCACACAAGCTTCAGAGGGGGAGGGAGGGGCTCCGCCAGAGGCTTCCTGTCCCTGCCCACAGGGTACCAAGAGTCGGGCTGTTCCGATCCCTCGCTCTGCCCCTACTGAAGGGCACAGGTGTGTGGCTGGAGGGATGACCCCTCCATTCAGGAGGAAGAACAAGAAGCAAGTAAACCAACAAGTACCTTTACATCATTGTCTAAAATAAGCAGGATAGGTGTTTTTTTAGATGAGAAAAACACGGGTTCAAAAATATAAGTGGTTTGCTCAGGGTCACATAGCAAATAAGATATAGAAAGAGAGTTTGAACTCTAGTCTGATTCTAGAACCCACATCCCTTTCTCTATACAGGTTCCCAAATAGAACGACACAGTGACCCAGGAGCTTTAGGAAATACTGATTCCTAGATCTTATCCTTGGCGTGTGTGACTGGGGGTGGGGCCTTTCCAGCTCCCCAAGTGTTTCTGATGTGCTACCAAGTTTGCAAACCACAGTATTACATCACTCTGGGGATGCTAAGCGATCCAATAGAATTCTTAATGAGAAGAAAATCAAAAGGCCTCTGGAAGCATGTACGGGCTGTCTCCTGTGCTGGGGCAGTGGGGCATTCAGAAGCGAATTTATTTGGAAAACCCAGCAGAGCCGAGGGGAGGGCAATAGAAGACAGATTTTTCCGACAGGCCTGGGAGCTCAGAGAATCAGATGCCCACCGGGGGCACTCAACATCAGAGTTCCCCACCTCCCTCCCCCTCTGCTTTGCTTGGAGGAAGCCAGGGCAAACATTTGGAACAGTGCACCTGCCTGGGCACTGCCCCTTTAATGATGGTTAATTGGTCATGCCACCTTCACTGATTGCCAGTCTCAGGTAAAAGTTCCCAGCGCTCCAGCTAAAACCAACCATCTTTTCCCCGAGCTCCATATCTTTTTTTTTTCTTTTCTTTTCTTTTTCCTCACCTGATGATATGTTTCTATTGATTTTTTTAGAGAGAGAGAGAACCATCTATATGAGAGAAAAACATCAACCAGTTGCTTCCTGTATGTACCCCGACCAGGGACCAAACCCGAAACCTAGGCACGTGTTCTGACTGGGAATTCAACCTGCACCATTTCAGTGTATGAGACAATGCTCCAGCCAACTGAGCCGCCCAGCCTGAGAATGAGGGCTCCGTGCTCATTCTTACCCTGGCTTTTGCTTCTCACTGGGTGCCCACCTTCTGCATTTTCCCCATCCTGATCCCCTCCCCTCCCATACACACCTCACATCTCGGGGCTGAGGGGTGATAAGTGAATGGACAGCGGCTAGAAGGAAGCATCCAAGATAACACGGATTGGGGGTGGCTGCTGAAGCCCTGTTGAGAAGTCTGCATTCGGATCTGAGCTCACGAGAAAAGCTCAGTAATCAATTAGTGCTCTGCTGTGGGTAGTGAGGGTGCCTGGGCAGCGGGCTGGCTTCCCTGGTCCCGTCAGGTAGCACAGTCTCTGAACGGCAGCCTCTTTGGCATCTTCTTTAAGAGGTTTTTCCTTAAAGCCCACGCACCACAGGCTTCACCCTCCTGGGATTTGGGAGCAGTTTTCCCTCTCCCCTTCTATGGCCCAGTAAGACACAAAGCGGAGTCATGATTCTCCCCCGGCTCCATTCCCCCTCACTTGTCCTTGCTGGGAACTACCAACCCCCTCCCAGAAGTGGAGGTATAGGCCCCGCCCCAACCCCAGAGTATCTGGCTTTTCCCCTCGTCACCATCCAGATTCTGTTGGCCTAAAGGGTGGTCACTCAGAAGTGGAGGGAGATTGACTATCACCTCCTTGTCCTCCAGAGCCCACCTGGAGAGAGGACTCCTTATCCTCTGGCCTGGTCCTGGCAGCCCGGCCCTGGGCAGGTCATACGGCTTTGGGATTAGCTGGCTTTGCACCCCAGGAGTGTCAGAAGTTCCCTGGCGCTTCCCACATGTAGACATACGGCGCCTCATCCTGTGGAGTCCCTGGGAACCTGCTCGCTGGCTGGCTCCGCCACCCCTGCCCTTCATTAAGCGCTCAAAGTCATTAACTCCCAGAGGGCAGGAAATGCACCTGTGGAACAAGTTTGAGACAATAGGTCCCATTTAGAGGTGATGCCACATGGCCCCGAGTGAGTGAGCATGGTCCCGGAGTCCAGGTAGGCAGAGGGTGCACGCCGGCAGCCTGAGGGCAGCGGCCCCGGTTGGAGTTGGTTTTGTAATGATTGGGAGGGACATGTTGAGGGATGCCTCCCGCTCAGACAGGAGAGTATCTGTCCGTGGCACCGAGGTGTCTGGAGCAAAAGAAGCCTCCATGGGTGGTTTGTCTCGTTCAGGCTTATACCGGGAGAGGCCCCAATTGGCCAAGGGAAGCAAGACAGAGTGAGTGCCTGAGTTCCCACCCATTTGGGAAGACACAGGGGTCTCCGTGGCTAAGCATGAATTAGTTCACTTCACTTGGCCTGTTCTCCATGCAACATCGTGGGCCAGGGAGAGGCTAGCCACGGTTAGGAACGAGGGTAGGACTCTCGCAGTCTTCCCTCCACTGCCCCACACCCACCAGAGCTGCTGGCTTACAGGTCCAGGAGGAGATGGCTAATTATTATCATTTTTTTCTGTGCCATACTCCAGAAAGCTCAACTCTCAGGATGCGGAGCTGCCCAGGACTCTCAAATTGGTAAAAGAGAGCACCAGAGTGGGTGTCTTCTCAGGCGAGGATAGAGGGAAGACTGAGTGACCCCAGTCAGAGGGAGCCTAGGCCCTGGGCAGCCGGAGGTGAGGAGGAGAAAGCGGCAAACAGGCCTGTCCTCCTCGGCTTCCTGGAGCTCTCTCCAGGATTCGCCAGTCACCACCCACGCAGAAGAGGAGGTGAGTGGAGATGCTGACCCTGAGGTGTGGCCTGTGCTAATCCCTGGGAGAAGCAGAGTTTGGGTTCCTGTACCCTCCCTCACAAAGGTAAGGGAGAGTTTCTAATGCCCAGAAGCTGATGAGGGAACTTGCCTTGCAGTACCCTAGAGTGACACGAGGGGGCGACAGCCACCATTGTGCGGAAGCTGGAAAGGCGAGATTCTCCTTCCTGCTGGCTCACTAGCACCAAAGACCTGCTGTGGGTGGATCCACAGACAACTCCTCCTGGTGACTTACCTGATACTCTGGCTGCAGGGGTGGAGCCAATCAGAATGTAGCAGAATGCCGTTTGAGCGTGAGCTGCCACAGCACCTGGCCCAACCCTTTTCCTCTCTAAAGACTTGTGTCCCAGTGAGGTGGCCCTGACTGAGGCCAAGGTCTCATCGCCAGAGAGGGGTTATCTGGGACTCAGTGCCAGTCCCCTGACTCAACGCTTATGTCAACGTGTCCTACATCACAGGACACCAAAGCCTTCCCTGCTTTGAGAAATCCTCACCGGGCACCCTTCAGCCTGCCCTCTGCCTCTCCTCCTGGAGCTGCCTGTGACACCTGAGCAGTTCTCTGTGGCAGAATGAGGTGTGGGGACAGTGTGGGTAAGAAGGGGGAACCGTGACACTTGCATCCAGGCTCACCAGCTCCCCTCGTCCCTGGGTGGAATTAGCGGGGT